GAGGGAAACCCACTTTTTCTTATCCCTCCACACTGCAGGATGCTAGGGCTGCGGTCTCATCCTAAAAATAGCTTCTGGGCATCCAGGGTGTAGGGAAGAGGATTCATTCCTAGTCTGTTCCCTCCTAACTAAACCCACTTAAAAATAAATAAATAATCAGTGAGCTAATATAGTGTTTGCTACCATCATATTGTCCCCTCTGCTTGTTCACTACACCATTTCCTGTACCCAGTGTCTGTCTTGCCTACTTAGACAGTAAACACTTCAGGGGCAGCCACTATCCTTGCTCTGTATTTATACAGTGCTTAGTACAATGAGGCCTGCTCTGGGTATATCCATATTCACTCAGATTCCTATATGAAGATACTCAGTGCATGGCACTTTTAGTTGGCTGGCAATTTCTGGGCTTATACAAGCATTTGCTGTTACATAATGTCACCAGTTGTCACCTTAAATATATTTCCCTTCATTACTTATAGTAATACTTCTTTTAATATATATAAATGCTTTATAAAAGATTAGTAAATGATTATGAGGGGTCTTAATCAATGATTAGTCAACTCTTAGAGCATCCAACAAGTTACATTGTTGCTTATAATCACCTGCAACATGACTAAATGCACTCTCTCACCTACTGCTCGTTTATTAATCTTTAACAGGCTTTTTAAAAACAGGGCTTTAATCTACAGCAAGTACAGAGTGGTATAAGAGAACGCTACTGATACAAGCAGCAAGGGTAAAACTATAGCTATTAGTGATATGTAAAATGCCATTTAGGGGCACTCTGGATAGAAATCATTCATCTGAATAATAAAACCTTTAGAAAGACAGTGAAATCCTGGACCACTTGAAGTCAATGGCAAAATTCCCACTGACTTCAGTGGGGGAGGATTTCACTCTAGCACTGAAATGAATGAGAGTTTTGCCATTGATTTCTATGGGAGCAGGTCTAGGCTGAGAAACATTTTTTTTATGTGCATAAATTCTGATGCAAGTACCCATGGGTGTGATTTGGGGTGTTACATTGATTTGCTTATATTTGAAATTTAAGCCAGATCTAAAATATAACCCACCTATAATAACAACTGATCATTACAAAATTATACCTTAGTTTAATATAAGCTTTTCCGAACATTAGGTGTGCTCTCAGTGTTAATTTCATACTAATAATACCAAGACCATATACCATTATACTTGGTGGATTTGCACAAGTCTCTGTGTTTCTATGAATACATAACTTTTAAGCAACTACCCCTACATTTGGCACATGAAAAAACAAACCATAAATAGAATGAGAAGAGAAGAGGATTAGTAGATTTGTGAAACAACTCCTATCATGATATTAAATGCATACAAGTGTAGTACACCAGCCAAAAAGGGAAAGA